TGTGTGTGTGTGTGTGTGTGTGTGTGTGTGTGTGTGTGTGTTCTACCTCTGTCCACTATGCTGGCCCTTTAACATATTTTCAGTTGGAAATAGGCTCTTCCTAAGTTACCCAGGCCCCTCTCCTCACTGGTGGACTCTAGGTGTGTGTGTGTGTGTGGGTGTGTGTGTGTGTGTGTGTGTGTGTGTGTGTGTGTGTGTGTGTGTGTGTGTGTGTTTGCTACCTCTGGCCACTCTGCTGGCCCTTTAACATATTTTCAGTTTGAAATAGGCTCTTCCTAAGTTACCCAGGCTGCCCCTGATCAACAGTGTAGCCCAGCCTAGCCTCACACCTGACACCTTAGCCTCCTGAGTGGCTAAGGGTTAACACTTGTTTTTAACAGTTTCATTTTGATGCTGGCCTCGCATGTTTGTTGCTGTGAAGAGAGGGTCTCACCACGTAACCCTAGCTGGCCCTTAACTCCGCCAGATTCTGCTTCCTCGGAGCTGGGATTAAAGGCTTGCACCACCGTTCATACAAACTACGATATATACAATGGAGTGGTAGACACGCCTTTAATCCCAGCACTCGGGAGGCAGAGGCAGGCTGATCTCTGTGAGTTTGAGGCCAGCCTGGTCTACAGAGGGAGTTCCAGGACAATCAGATACACACACACACTCACACACACACTACCCAGGTTCCCCTCCCCCACTCATCTCAATACTCAGAAAAGGGCAGACCTCACATGGAAAAAAAAATGGCATGGCATATGAAGTTGTATTAAGACTAAGCACTTCTCTTTGTATTAAGGCTGGGCAAGGCAACCTAGTATGAGACGTGGGGTCCCCAAAAAAGACAGTAAAATAGTCAGACATCCCTTGCTCCCACTGTTGGGAGCAAGAAGACCAAGCAAGCAACATAACCGTCACATACATGCAGAGGGCCTAGGTCAGTCCCATGCAGCCTACAGCCAACACAACTGGAGAGGGAAAAAAAAATGTCAACGTAACGATGACTAACGATATTCTGCCATACGTACTCATAGGTAGAGACCTATCCTGATTAACTGCCACACTCAATGCCAAGCTTTACTGCAGACAGACGGGTGGTCTACATTCTGCACAGCCAAGTGTAAGCACGGGACACACGTCTACAGCCTGAGTGTCCCACATTAGCCTTGATGGGTCTCTCCCACCTTCTAGTCCCTTCTCCCAAATTGCCCCAGACACACTCGCCTTGCTAGTGGAAGGCACTTCCGTCTCCGAAGACAGGTTCCGAAGCAGCGCTGGGCTACCCTGGCGTCTGCTGGGCGGCTCCTCCTGATTTGACAGGTCCTTCTGGGACCACTTCATGTCATCCCACTCATCCTCCCTGGCTTCAGCCTTCTCAACTCTGGGATCTCGGCGGAGGTATAGTCGTCCTTTCCAATTTACTATGGACTGGAGGGGGGGGAGGGGGAGACACGGACAGGATGAGACCCCTGAGTAAGAGCCTGGTCCTGGGCTGACTTAGCAGCCAAAACTGGCTCATTGGCCAATCTGTCTTCCTGGACGTGGACTGACCCTCAGCGTCATACTCAACTACACAGCAAATTGGGGACCAGCCTGGACAAGGAGTGGGGGAGGGGGACTGGAAAGACGGCTCGGCGATGAAGAGCACCGACTGGTCTTCCAGGGGTCTCAGGTTCAATCCCCAGCACCCACTTTCCTCTTATGACCCACTAAGGGCGAGACCCTCAGTGGATTCTGCCTCCAGGCCACCACAGCCCCCACCACGACTGTCCTTTCCCTGAGCCGCGCTGCTCACCCACGAGCGGGGTTTCCTATGATCCCTCAGCATCTTTTCCAGATCTTTGCAGCTCGTCACTCCGCTCTCCTTGACCAAAGCCTGCAGTTGTGGCGGCATGGAGATCATGAACTGTTCCAACACCAGCTGGTCCAGGATCTCCTCCTTGCTGTTGAGGTCTGGTCTCAACCACTGGTAGCATAGCTCAGAGATCTGCTTCAGACTTTGGTCAGGACTGGCCCTCTTCGAGGGACAAAAACCTCGGAATCTCAAGTGCCAGACCTCGGGGTTGTAGTTTTGCTTTTCTCCCGATGGTGGCTGCTCTGATGGTGGCAGGCTTGTAGCCAGAGCCTTGTAGCCATGTTCCCTCGGTCTCTGGAAGTCGGGATTCCTGCCTAAACAGACGTAGTCCTTTAATAGCCAAGGGGATAGGCTCAGTGTCGGTCCAGAAGCCTAGGAGGCAAGAAGCAACCGGATCAGTTTAACTCTGCTGCCTCCAAAATAAATCTCATTCCTTATAATATACCCTCCCCCCAAACACACTGGGACACACCATCCCAAGGTAACATTGCACTGGCGTTCTGCCTCCGTGTATCTGTACTAGGTACCCTGGAACCGGAATGACTGCTGCCATGTGAGTACTGGGTCCTCTGGAAGAACAGCCAGTGCTCTTGACCTCTGAGCCATCTCTCCAGCCCCCCAAGATAATTCTTTTAAATCAATTACTCTACTCTGTATGATGGAGCATACCTGTACCCTCAGGCAAGGGAGATGTGGGAGCCTGACACTTGCCATATTTTTGAGACCACCCTAGGTTACATAGTAAATACCAAGTCTAAAAAACATAAGGGCTATAAGACTCTTAAAATCAAAGAACAAGCCTGGCGGTGGTGGCGCACGACTTTAATCCCAGCACTCAGAATGCAGAGGCAGGTGCTTCTCTGAGTTCCAGCCAGTCTGGTTACCGAGTGAGTTCCATGACAGACAGGGCTACACAGAGAAACCCTGTACCAAAAAATAAAAAAAAAAAAAAACAAGGCTCAACCCATAATCCCAGCAGTGTTTTAAGCTAAAATTGTTAAAAGCTAGCCTGGGCTACAGAGCAAAAACCATAGTTTCAGAAAACAAAAATATACAGAAACGGGACTCGTCTAATCTTCCAACTCCTTGTTCCTACGCACGCTGTGCTGGCAAAAAGAATCAATGGCTCCTGATGTCACCCCCAAATGTGCACAGTCTCTCTGTGTAGCCCTGGCTGTCCTGGAACTAGCTCTGGAGACCAGGCTGAACCCTAACTCAGAGATCCGCCCGCCTCTGTCTCCTGAGTGCTGGGATTAAGCATGTGTTCCACTTTTGGAGGAGGGGGCAGTCTGACCTGTCTTCCCCAGGCCAGCCAGAGCTATGGAGTGAGACCCTGTCTGAAAAACAACCAAAAAGGATAGGAGGGGGGATGGGAAGGGTACAGAGTTGGTTAGAAGCCTTTGATCTTTTAGGTGAGTTCAGTTCCCAAACACACTTTAATCCCAGGGAGGCAGAGGCAGGCAGATCTCTGTGAGCCAGCCTGGTCTACATAGTGAGTTCCATAGCAGCCAGGATATAGTGAGGCTATATCTCTCAAAAAACAGAAACAAGAAACCACCCAAACAAACAAAAACACCCACACAAAATTATTAAATTAAAAAACCTACTAAGTATTTATGGCTTAAGACAGTTATTTGAAAATTTAACACAAATGGTTGAAAAAAATATTTGTAGCTACGTGGCGGTATACATACACCTTTAATCCCAGTTAGAGGCCAGCCTGGTCTGCAAATGGTGTTCCAGGATAGCCAGAGCTACACAAAACAAACCCTGTCTCTTTTGTTTGTTTGTTTTCGAGACAGGGTTTCTCTGTGTAGCCCTGGCTGTCCTGGGACTCCCTCCCAGGCTGGTCTGGTATCCTGCTTGCCTCTGCCTCTCGAGTGCTGGGATTAAAGGCGAGCGCCACCAATGCTGGGCCAAAGCGAGTTCCAGGACAACCAGGACTGTTCCACAGAGAAACCCTATCTCAAAACAAAACAAAACACAACAAAAAATCACTGTGGTGGTGTGTGGGGCCGCCTGCCTGCCTGCCTGACATGCTCACAGAAGTCAAAATAGTGGACAGTTGCCATGAGTTGTAAGCCAAAGTCGGACAACGGAGTTTTAAGCCACCCTGGGCTTGCACAAACATACTGCATTGTCAAAACGAAAGAGAAAAACAAAACCCCCAAACCGTTATGGGACACGTTTACATCAATGATGAAAACATTTCTGTTAAGGCTCTAACTCCAGAAACATTATTAAAGTATTAGATTTTTAGCACCCTTTTTGGGGGAGGGGATTGAAGTGTGTTTTTTTATTTCTTTACAGTGCTGGGAATGTGACCCTAGGCCTCAAAGATGCCAGGAAGCACCCCACCGACTGAGCTACATCTCCAACCTTGTACCTTCTTTTTTTTTCCTGTCCTGTCCCTAGCACAGGGGACCAAAGCGTGCACCACCACCGACC